GTAGTTGTCACAGGGATGGAGAGCACGGCATAGGGAATGCAGTTAGCATTAATATGATGGCTAGGCGGAGGGCCAGGGGAGGTCGGGAGCACTTGAGGGGATTCTTTTATGAACTATACAGATGTCTAACCAACGTACTGTATACTTGAAACTAATTTAAATAAATAAATTTTTTAAAAATGAGCTTTAGACAAAACTGTGTTTTAGTCATTTGTATGTTATTTACTAGATGTGTCTATGCTGACTTTTGTGTTTATCATTCCCTTGTGAATATATATAAAATATGTATTATATATAGTATGTATGATATAATGTATATACTTGTATATATATATATATACATGGATATATACTCATACATATGTGGATATATGTATGTGTATGTTGTTTTGCACTTTAGATACATATGTGTTCTCTGAGGCTTGTTTATATCAATCCACATTACATGTTGCATGTAGCCACTGTCCAGTCCTTTTTCACTACAGCATGATATTCTATTGCATGAACATACCATAATTTCTTATCTCTGTTAATGAGCACTTGGATTGTTTGTCCTTCATATTCATCATCCATAAAAAAGGAAGAAAGAAATTTTACCTCACAGATTGCTGTAACTTATTTGAAAGAATGAGTCCGTGCTTGACACAGAGATATAAAACCCTGACCCACACCTCTCTTGACTCTGGAAGGAAACAGAGATACATCCCAATACCCTGATGAGACAGTAACTCCAGTTCCAGTGGCAGGATAAATTTCACTTTTGACTTTCTCCATCTGCCATTGTCTAACCCAGTGGTTCTCAAACCACTTTTGCACACATGAACACACCCAGAGGATTTTGATAATGTCTGGAGATATTTCTGGTCATCACAACAGGGGATGCTACTGGCATCTAGTTGGTAGAGGCCAGGGATGCTGCTTAGCATCCTACAGTGCACAGGACGGCCCCACAGCACAGAATGATCCAGCCCAAAACGTCAATAGGGCCGAAGTTGAAAAGCCCTGGTCTATTCTCTCCTGTGCTTAGAATAAATAGCCCAACCTGTACCTTGCAGACAAGAGATGGCCCTTTATTCCGTGCACTAAGTGTAAGAGATGATCACTTTGAAGAGATGCCATCCTTAGAGATTATAAGAGGATATGTATAGAGTTTATGCAAAAAAATGTGTCTTATGGGGACTAGGAGAACATAACCAAAGCTCTTGTACAGGACATCCAGTTACCTCTCTTATTGTAAATATGAACCCCCCCCAACACACACACACACACACACACACACACACACACACACACACACACTTATTTTCATCCCACTGTGGACCCCAGAGCCACCGGCTACCTCTCCAGTCTCCTTATATCCAAGAGCATGCTCCTCCATGCAGGTCTCCACATCAAGGTCAGAGGGACGTTCCAAACCCAGGGCCCTTCATGTCACTGCCCTGAACTATAGCCCTACAATGCCTTCCTGTCAGCCCTGCACCAAACCCAAATGCCTCTGTCCAGCAAACAAGGCCCTGCAAGGGCAGGTGACCGCCTACTCATCTGACCTCGGAGCTCACCACTCCTCTAAGCACATGTCTGCTCAAGCTTCGCCTAGTGAACAGTGTGCTCACAGGCCCCATTCATCCGTACGTGTTTCCTCTGCTTGGGAAGCTCTTCCTTCCTGGTTTCTACTTTTGCTGCAAGACAAGTCTTCAGTATCACAGTCCCCAAGAATCCTTCCTCGGTTCCCCCGCTCCCCATGCCCTGCTGAGTTCACAATGCCCTGTGCTTACCTTTCTCCCAGTACTTAGCACGATGGAGTATAATTAATTGTGTGTCTGTTTCCCCAACAGAAATGAGCTCCTCTGAGAGCAGGGACTGAGACTTTCGTCTTCTCATACCTAGTGCTTAACACAGTCCCTGGCCCTAGCAGCTATCTAAAAGTCTCATTTGATGGGTGAATGGATGAATGGAGCTGCTGTCAAAGATGAAGCGAGTCAGCTGGTGAGAATGTGGCACTGACAAAGGAGCAATGAAAACAGCGTGTCACTTCAACTTAGCCACATTTATTGGATAGCAAGGGAGCACACTCATGAGGACAGAAAAAATTTATGTCGGGAAAGAGACTTGAGATGATGTGGTAAAACAGCTCTTGTCAGCTTGATGGCAGCAGCAGAAAGGAACCCAGAATGTCCCCCTCTCTGCCCAGGAGGCCTACATTTGGACATTTCTGATGCATTCTTGGAAACATAAGCAGATGGCAAATAATGGTGCAGAAAGGAAAAGATTCTAGCTAAGGTATGATAAGCTTCGCGGAGGGCAGTCAAGTTTTCTCTCTAGTCGAAGGTTAGCTTTACAGGAATTGGTGGGTTGAGGTCAGTTCAGCAGTTAGCAGGCTTGGTGGCATCCAGCTGGCTGGCTGTGGCCACATGGGTGGTTGGGCTAGTGGGTCTGGCCTCAGGGGGCTGGCAGGAACTGGCATTTGAAACTTCTGCCTTGCAGGGCGTGGAGTCAGCACAATCCAGTTGGCTGGAAGTGGACTGCTTGCAATCTTGTTTACAGGAGTCGGCACGAGGTGGGCGGGAGCACACCGGGCGGTAGGAGAGAGAAGTGACACAAGCCGGGCGGCGCAGGATGGAGTAACAAGGGCGGTAGCAGGCAGGACGGTAGGAGATGGACGTCACATATGGCTGCCTATAGGTGAGTGGTCCAGAGTAGATTGGGCGGCAAATTGGACGGTAGGAAACCGAAGTCGTACAAGGCCGTTTGCAGGAGCTGGGTATGTAGAAAGTCCGAGGACAAGTTGGCTGGCAGATGGCAGATGCAGAAGACCCTGGGCGGCAGCAGACAGGTTGGCAGGAGGTAGCTGGACAAGCAATAGGCTCACGGCAAATGGACTGACAGCGCTTGACTAGGTAGCAGGCGGGTTGGCATGGACGAGGCACACAGACACTTGGTGAGCAGGGGCTGGGCTCTGAGCATATGGGTTGGCGGATGCTGGAGACGCAACAAGAGGGCTGTTGGCAGGTGCTAGAGATACAACAAGAAGGCTCTTGGCAAGTGCTGGAGACACAAGGTGGTTCACAAGGGCTCTGAACACAGCAAACAGAACGAAGGCAGACAGGCCCACAGACCAGAGCCACACAGGTAGGCTGGCAGACGCTGGGCCCGGAGCAAGATGGCTCACAAGGACTGGAGTCACAGCAAACAGACTGGCAGTTATTGGCCACAGAGCAGACGGATGGACAGCAGCTAGGCGTGGGGCACACCGGCTGACAGCAAGCGGGCTCACAGGCCACTGGTTGGCAGGAACTAGGCACGGTGCAGACAGCTTGACAGCAGCTGGGCTCACAGATGACTGGCTGGCAGCAGCTGGGTTTGCAGACGATGGGCTGGCAGGGAGTGGGCACACAAAGGACTGGTTGGCAGGAAGTGGCCTCGCAGCACACAGGTTGGGCACAGCTGCTCACAGAGCAAGAAGGATCACAAATGATGGCCTCGCAGCACACGGGTTGGGCACAGCTGCTCACAGAGCAGGAGGGCTCACAAATGGTGGCCTCGCAGCACACGGGTTGGGCACAGCTGCTCACAGAGCAGGAGGGCTCACAAATGGTGGCCTCGCAGCACACGGGTTGGGCACAGCTGCTCACAGAGCAGGAGGGCTCACAAATGGTGGCCTCGCAGCACACAGGTTGGGCACAACTGCTCACAGGACAGGAGGGCTGACAGCACTGTGGACCACAGCTAGATGATCCGCAGCTATCTTGAAGAGTCACCAGTTGCCACGTCTGGCTCCGGCAGGAACTGGGCAAGCAGACAGGTGCTCCGCAGCTCACCTCAGTGGAGCAGAGAGAGATGGCTGGCACAGAGGGGCATTTTCTAGAACAGCAGTTTCCAGACATGATGAAGATGCTCTGCTCCTTTGTAAGTGCTGTGAGGATGCTACCTGACTGGGGCAGCTATCTGAGGCCCTCGCTTTTATATCCCTTCACAAGCACGTGCTGTTTTGAGCTCCTGTGTCTTTTCCTCATCATTGTTTGGGCCAGTTTTCAGAGGAACATCTTATTATGCCAAGGTTTGTTGACCTGAAGTTGTTTATCTACCCATAAAGAAGCTGTGTTGTTTGTTGACTTGCTAAATTTGGAATCCTTGGAGCTACAGGTCATCTTGGAATAAGCATCATCACCACCAAGCTAAATGACCTGTGTTTCTGAGCATCTCGACCAGGGGAAGAAGGAGTGAACTTATAATTTATCCATCTGCTAATCCTCTGTACCAGGCCCTGGGCTGGACGCATGGGATGCCCGTGAATAAGACATACTCACTCATTCTTGTGGATATCACTCTCTGGTGGGCAGACACGCATGCCGGCACACTCACTGCAATGATAAACTCAGTAGACATGCAGGGATTAGTAGTGAGGAGCAGTGAGGAGCTCTGTGGGAGAGAGGGTATCTGGGCTGGATTTTAAATGACTGAGGTTTATAGCAATGATATTATTTAAAACTATCAGCAATCCTATGAGATGGGATTCCTCTTCCCCCAGTACAGATAAAGAAAAGGAAACGGGATTGGAATCAAAAAGTTTGTCACTTGCTAAAGATCTCAGCTCTGCCCTAATCTAGAGCTGTTCTTCCTTCTCACCATCCTGTCTGGACAGAAATTTCTCTGGAGTCCTTGTCAAAGCCACATGTCACAGGCTTAGCCCACAATGCTATCCTGCATCCTGTTCTATGATCCTCCCTGCCCAACACTACTGGCTCTCCGATGCCAGGAAAGCACTTGACCTAGCATCTCTGCTTCTCTTCCCTCTTTTCCTTCCACTCACCCACTGCCTCAGGCATTCAGTAGACCCCCCAGAGTCCTTCTTACCTTTAGTAATCTTTTTAAATTAGATTTATTGGGATAACATTGGTAATTAACATTATGTAAATTTAAGGTGTACAACTTTATGACATCTGTATTTAATAGCTCCTGAAAGAAAGATACCTCCGAGACTCAAAGGGTAAAGAGAAAAGACGAGGGGTCTTTCACTAAGACATCGTGAACAACAGCAAAGAACGCAAAGCTTTCTCAAAGCATTGTATCAGTGTTACTTCTTAAGTCAGACGTAAGATGAGAAACAAACCCTAGGTTTCTAAACACTAAGATCTGACATCCTTGTTCACCAAGGCTTTACCGTGCCTCCACCATGTGCTTTCAACATCAATGCAAAAGGCTAGCTCTCTTTTGGAAAAGCTGAACCGTTCATCATCCTTCTCTTCATTCATTAATTTATGCAATCATTCGCTCAATTTTTCTTTTATTCATCCATTCAACTTATCCAACATTGGGTTCTGTGTGAGGGATACAAAATAAATGAGTTGCAATTCCAGCCATAAGGAGCCCAAGTTTAGAAGAGAGACAGGTACGTACGTAGCAATTGTGATACAGTAGACATACAGGTGCTACAATACATGGATGCACAGGGTGTTCTAGGGGTACCCTGGAAAAACGCAAACACGGTCTTTGGGAAGTTAGGGAAAGCTTCTCAAAAGCATGATACATTTGGGGAATAGCAGATGGTTCTATAGCCAGGATGAAAAGTACAAGGGGACAGGAAGGGACAATGATGGGACTAGAGGGGTGACTAGGCACTCAATCATGAAAGGCCTATGAACCACAATAATGACTTGGATGTTATGCTGACATTTGGGATTTTTAAGCAGGGGGTGTAACTTGACCAGGTTTGCCCTTTGGATTGGAGAAGGAGGTAAAGTCTAGAAGTGGAAGACTATTAGGGATGTGAGACAATTACCTGAAAACTTCATGGTAACAACCTGCATTGGGTAGTGGCCTCGGGACTGAAATGATATGAGGTGTTTTTAAAAAGCAGAATCCACAGGACTCAGTAGTTGAAAGTGGAAGTTTAGGAACAGAGAGTGCCATCCTTTGAAATGTGGCTCTCAGACAATAGAGAAAGAAGACCTTAAGACAGCTTTGCAGAGGGTAAGTCAGAGAAGAAGCCCCCAAGACCCTGATCCCCACCTTTTCAGGTCCTCTCCTCTCCATCCACCTTCTCTTCCTCAGCTAAACCAGCAATGAAATTCCTGATGGAGATGGACCCCCTCCCCCCAAAATCCCTCATAAACCCTCTCAGCTGAGGAACTTGCATAGCATCATCTGTTATGCTAGAATGTCATCTCCTCAAAGAATCCTTCCCTGCTAAGTGGAATAAGCTGCTGTTTTAACTAAGTAGCCCATTCCTACTTTCTTCTTCTTCTTCTTCTTTCTTCTTCTTCTCCTTCTCCTTCTCCTTCTCCTTCTCCTTCTCCTTCTCCTTCTTCTTTTTTTTTGTAGTTCTAGTCCTTCTTGACATTTTGTAAGCACCAGGAGAGCAAGGATTTTGTTTATTCACTGATGTATACCCAGCACCCAGAGCAGTATTTGATACAGAGGCAGTTCACAATTAATATTTATTGAGTGAATGAATGAGGACCTCTGTGTACAACTAAGAAGGGCGATTCTCTGTCGGTAATTCAAAGAAATTACTACCTTCCGCTCACTCATCCAGGAGACCATGGTCACGAGCAATTGAAGAATTAGCCGCTCTGAATCACAATTACTCGGTGTAAACCAACTGACCTCTTGGCAACTTTGTCCCATTGGCATGCTCCTGCTCTGACTGTGGCTTTGTCCTGGAGGTTAAAGAGCCAGTTCTTTGGAGGCCAATTCAAGCCAGAGCAAAATGATCTAAATAGTAACCTAAAACTGAACCAGGGCAGAGTCAAATCTTGAATTCTCCTCCAAAGCAAGACACTACTAATACTGCTAGGATTTTTAATAAAACAAAAAAATGAAAACACAATGAACTATCACTAGACACTTGCTAGAATAAAAAGACAATTTGCACATGAATATTCATAACAGCTTCATGAATAATAGCAAAAAAAAAAAAACTGGAGACAACCCAAATGTCCATCAGCAGATAAATATTTTTAATATAATTTAGTCATACAATGTAATACTATTCGAAAAAGGAATGAACTATTGATAGCTGCAACAACATAAATGAATAGTTTTAAAAGTACATACTGTATGATTTCATTTATATGAAATTTTAGAAATAGTGAAATTTATAGTGACATAAAGCAAATCAATGGTTGTCTGAGACTGGAGTTGGGTGGCAGGATTGTCTGCAAAAGGGCACAGGAGAATCTGAGGGATGATGAAAAGTTCTATATCTTGAGTGCAGTAGTGGTTACTTAAATATATACGATTGTCAAATCTTATCAAACTGTACACTAAAATGGGAGTACTTTATTATATGTAAATTACATCCCAATAAAGTTAGCTCATACAAAATGAAACAAAAATTTTAAAGGCAAAAAAGTAAAAGCAGCATAATCCCAGTTTTATTTGTAAATATGCTTAGTAAGGAGTCTGGAAAGATATATGTCAGTAATAAACCCTGAGTGCTGAAAATTCAGGTGGTTCTTATTTCTTCTCTACATTTTTCTGGTTTTTTTTTTTCATATTTTTAAGGGTCATTGCTATGCTTGTAATCAGAAAAATATTTTTGTTTGTTGAATAAAACATTGCTTTGTAGGAATAAAAATAAATATTCTTCTCCCAGGGCAAGAGTAGAATTAGTTTTATCCCACATGTAGCTCAAAGTCACATTCAGCAAGAGGTTGAATCAACCATCTCTTGAATTTTAACCTTTCAGCTGGATCCATACATGCTAGGTGGGTCAGGCCCCACCTAGCAGATGGACAATCACCCCTCTCATCCCTGGGCCTCAGGCTGAAGAAATACAGCTGATTCCAGGACAAAAACAAACAAACAAACAAACAAAAAACCCTAACTCAGAAAAACGGGACTTCACCAAAGCATGAGGCTGGAGGAAGGGCTTGGGCTCCCCAGAACAACCTTTGAACCTGTGTGTTCTCATAGTTTTGCTACGGGAGTCCCTCCCGCTCAGAACTAAGTTTGTTGTACCAAAGCCATCGCCTCTGATTTTGCCAGGAAGTTCTGACCGCACCTGAAGCCCTCCAGCAGAATCGTTCTAGGAGAACTATACTGCAGAAGGAAGCCATGTCCCTTGGTCAAGGTTAAACTTGGTCAGCGTTGGCATTCACCCAGGAGCTGGGACCCCTACCCTAGACCTAATGGAGAAAATCTCTAGCAGCAAAGCCCAAGAATCTGTATTTTTAAAAGCCTCCCCAAGTGCATCATAGTTCCCAGACTTCAGTGCGTAAGAATTATCTGGGGTTCTTGTTAGAAACACAAATTGCATGTGGATTCTGATTCTGCATGTCTCAGGGAAGACTCCAGAATTCCCATTTTAACTCCCCCGGGGTGATTCTGATGCAGCTGATCCATAAACTATATTTCAAAACCTCTATGTGGATGCCAGAGTAAAATTTCCTGGCCCACTGCCCAACAGGGGGCGAAGGAAGAGGCCGAAGAACTAATTTGGTTATGCCAGCACGCTCGAATTTATTCACACGTTAAGAAAGTAATTTTTGTATCTCAAAAGCAGCAAAAAGCTGAAGAAGAGGGGTCAGTCCCAAAGACACCTTGAATAAGAGGATGTCTTAGAGTGACGAGACATTTAACTTCATGAAAATCAAGCCATGGGGATTCACCCTTTGAGCTTCCGGGATCACTTTGGGTACACTGAACTTTAATTCCCCACCAGCATTATGGCTCTTGTTCTCAGGACTTTGAAACACCAGGGCAGGCGTTGGAGAATCAGCCTCCTCTACAAATAACACGGGAGGCAGGACACTGTTTGAGGGGATGTAGAATGACCTGGAGACGAGGGGTCTCCACCTGGAGCAGATGGGGGCTTTCCCTAGGACTGCTTCAGTGGAAGGAGAAAAAGTCTTCATTTCGTGTCGCAGACAGGCGTGGGCTGGCAGCAGACAGGGCCGCAGCACCCAGAGGAGCCACAGCAGCTGGATCCGCAGCAGCTCCCGCAGCAGCCGCCCCCGCAGCCAGATCCGCAGCCGCCCCCGCAGCCAGATCCGCAGCAGGAAGACCCGCAGCAGCCGCCCCCGCAGCCTCCGCAGCCCGAGCCACCGCAGCCCGAGCCACCGCAGCCCGAGCCACCGCAGCCGCAGCAAGACCCGCAGCAGGGCCCGCAGCAGCCGCAGCAAGACCCGCAGCAGGAGGGCCCGCAGCAGCACTCTTCACAGCAGTCTTGCTCTTGGCCGCAGCAGGTGAAGCAGTCCCCTGGGCAGCACCCCATGATCCCGGCTGGTCAGGTCGCAGATCAGGAGCACGGCCGGAGTTCCCCAAGTCTGACAGTGACCAGCTGGACATCGGCTTTTATATATCCTCCCTGGAGGGTGTTGGCACAAGGGACAGGTGCTTTCTTTGTTATTATTTGTGCCAGTTCCATAAGAACGTCTCATTAGCTGCCTGTTTATTTTCTGGCCCCGAGTACCTCAACCCATAAAAAAGCCCCACTCGTCCCAACGCTATTTGTCCAGAGGGTAAAAATACATCTTCGGAAAGGCCTGTCATCATGGCCAAACATGGCCAACCATCATTAGCCCAGGTGGGAGAGAAGGAGAAGCCCTCCACAGCTTCTGGCTCTGGCTCCTCTTCCACGTCTTCTCTGATGGCCAGTGAGCAGCTGACCCCTTTTGTCATGGATGCTAGTCCTGGAAAATCAGAATGATAAAGGCCGGATGCCCTATGCCTTCTGCCCAAGGTGGAGGCTGCTGTAGGAAGTCTGGTCATGTGGCTCCTCTCCGGTGGAAATGGCATCTCATCCCGGCCCATGTGAGCAAGGCAAATATTTGTGTGTGTGTGGTATGTGGAGTGTGCCACATGTTTGTTTGGGCTTGGTCGGTGAGCATCAATCATGAGTAATAACTGCCCTGTGAAGTGGAGAGGGACTCATCATAAAACTTCAAGAGGCAGAGAACCACATTTCTCTCCACTGTGCGGTGAACTGAATACCCACCCCTCTCCGTAAATGGGCTGGGAGAGCAGTGGTCAGACGTGCAACATGCTCGTCCCAGGCCTTTCCTTGATAGAGGAGGAGGAGGAGCAGATGGAGACGAGAAAGAAAGGAAGGAAGCATGGAAAGGAAGGAGGGAAGGAGAGAGGGAGGGAGATCATTGAACATCCAAAACACTGCATCAAAGTGGGAATATTGTACACTTTTTTAAAGACCACCTGGCAGAATGAGGGATAAGCAGACAAAATATCCAGAGAATCATCGAGGAATAAAATGCCTTTGAAAGAAGACAAGACTCCACAGAGGATTCGGTCCCTGTGAAAATTCCGAGATAGGTCACATTTCCTGTCTCCATTTGGGGCTTTAGTACCTTGTCATCCTCCTGGAATGATAATGGCAGCTTTGGAGCCTACAAGCTCAGCCCTCTGGAGGGCAGCACCCAGAGAGGGCGGTGGGGATGGAAGGTGGCAGTGGGAGCAGAGGTCTGGATCAAGGGACATAGTCCATCCTTTTCAGTTTCCCTTTCCTTTTTAGATGGGCCTGGAGGCAAAGCAGCCTCTTGGATGGGGCTAGAAGGACGGAGAACTGGGTGGTGAGGGGAATGGAACTGGGAGAAAGATTGGGTTACGTGGATCTGATATGATGCTCAGTACTTCACAGAATGTGGAATTGTAGGACTGGGAGTAACCCCAAAGAATCTTGGGATCCAGAGTTTCGAAACCGGCTTTTACGTCGGAATTGTTTAGAATGGGAGCTTTTGAAAAATACAGACCCCCAACCTGCACCCTAGTCCTGTTCAATCAGAATATGTGCTCATGGGAGCTTGAGAAGCTATATATCTGAAAATTTCCCAGATGACTCAGGTTATCAAATAGGTTAGGAAACACTGATATAATTTAATGCTGCCCTGACCATTACCTGCAAGCACTGTTTAAAAGAATTTGTTTGTTTGTTTGTTTTAATTAGTTTCAAGTATACGATACATTGGTTAGACATTTATATAGTTTATAAAACAATCCCCCAATTGCTCCTTCCCCCCTCTGATTTTCCACCTAGCAGATATATTAAATACTTTTTTTTTTTTTTTTTAATACAGAAGGTAATAAAAGAACCCAGAGAGAGACTGGACCATGAATTTCTGTTTCCTGGTCCAGTGTTACTTCCACCACTCCATGTCCACAGATGGACACCTCTGGGTAAGTATAATAGAGCAACATTCATGACAGACACATTCTTTTCATTCATTTTTAATAATAGGTAATGCATCCGCATGATCAAGCTGCAAAAGGAAGGCAATGAAAAGTCTCCTCCCTCATCCTGTGTCCCGCCAGCCAGTTCTCTGCCTCTCACCCGCCTTCTCCTCTGTCCCCAGTATTAGTTAATCTCTGGTACCTGAATTTCCTCATCTTTAAAATAGAAATTATGGTAATAATAGCACCAATCTCATAGGGCTGCTGTAAAGATTAGATGAATTAATAAATATGCATACACAGCACTTAGAACAGTGATCGGCCACCTATTGTTTGATAAACATTAGCTATTATTTATCTACAAGAAAATAGATGGATGTATAGATATAGGTATATTTTTGTTCATTACACAAATGGTAGCACGATAGACATACTGTTCTTAATTCTTTGTTGCCTCTTAACAAGGTATCTTAGAATTCATGCCATATTAGTACATAAAGAAATTTTTCAAAGTATTCTATTGTACCAATAATTTATTAAACCAATTCTCTGTTGAAAGCCATTTATCTCTAATAGTTTTAATAGTTTGATATAATAAACTTTAACTTATTACAATTTGTTATTATATAACTGTATACTTACATATACCTTTATATATCCCTCCCATAAACTCTTGGAAGAGAAATTGCTGAATTGGTGAGTTTTTGCATTTGTAATTTTGATAGATGTTGCCAAGTCACCCTTCATAAAGGTTGCGCCAATTTACACACCCATCAGCCATGCGCGAGAGTCCCTGTTTCTTCCTACTTTACCAACACATGTGTTACCAACATTTGTGACTTTGCCAATCTGATAGGAGGAAGATAGGATCTTGGAACAGTTTTAATTTGCATTTCTATTATTGTGTATAAAATTGAACAATATTCCATATGCTTAAATGCTATTTATGTTCCCTTCTCTGTGAATTATTATTTCCATTGTCCATTTTTCTATTGGATTTTTGGTGTTTAACTTTGATAGATAAGAATCTTTTGTGAAATAGAAAATAAAGCTTTGTCTACATCATGAGTTTAAAATACTTTTCTTAGGTTGTCATCAGACTTTAACATTGTATTATAATAATAATGATGATGATGATGATGTTTGCATTATAAATTTCATACCTGTTTATTGTGGAACTTTGGAAAAATACAACAAATTAAATCAAGAATATAAAAATCATCCATAACCCCATAACAATGATATTTGCTCCTAATTTTCTAGTTTCCCTTTTAGTGTTTTTTCTAAAGATTTCCATATAAATATCGATATGAATGTAAATATATTTACAGATATATTAGATACAAATTTCTAAATCCATGTTCCAAGATATGTTAAAAATTTATAACTATTTTCCTCTAAGTGTGCTTAAACCTATTTCAAACCTTCATTCCAGTTTACAGAGGAAGAAAAGTCAGTTCTGTATAAACTCAGAAGTCATTCAAGATTTCTCCCTCCCATCTTTCATCTGGAGATGGTATAAGTTTAGAGGTGCTTGGATAGTATCATAGCATTAAAGAGAATAGACACTGGTTCATGGTGGGCATCCACTGCACTGTACATGGTCCTCTCTTATTCCTGGCCACCATCCTCCCTTTGATGGCACCAGATGAGATATCTGAGTTCTCTCTGCTCTCCACAAATCCTGCTTCCTTCCATCACCCCATCCAGGAGGCCCAAGGTCTTCTCTGCCACTTTCCTCCACCACATCAAGTCTATTTTGAATTGTTTAAGCTAAGCATTGACTTGAGTCATTCTCTCTGCATTTCTACAGTAATAACCCTACCCTGGGGGCAGGGGATATAGAAAGAGCCCCACTGATGCCCAAGCAATAAGGAAAAAGCAGCGGTGAAAAGAAATTGCAGAAGAATGATAAGACTAGTGAGTATTTCAAAGTTTCATCCTGACACATAGCTTTACAAAATCAAAATCATATTATATACTGAATATTGTGCTTAACCTGAGAAAATGCTCATGAATATGTTGATTATTAAATATCATGAAAATCTGAGAATTTATGTTTTCAAATTGATGTAAAGCATCCCTGTGAAATTTCATTGTCGTACTTATTTGTACTTATTTCATTATTAGTACATTTATGAACCACTTTTATTTCTCCTTTTGGGAATTATCTGATCATGCCACTTTTTCATCTTTCATAATTTATTCATAACAGTTTATTTTATGCTAAACATATTAACTTTCATTTCTGTCATATGTGTTGCACATTTTATCCCAAGATATCATTTCTTATGCATATAATTTTTAAATAGGAAAAGCTACCTTTTTTCCCATTGCTTTTATACTTTGAAACTACTTTACCATCCCCAAATGAGACAACTATTAACTTTATTTTAGTTTGGTTTTTATAGTTGCATTTTTTTCCACTTAATGCTGTTATTCGTCAGGAATTTATTTTGAGGTGTGGCAGATACTGCTTTACAAAAAAGTCTTGGTTTTTCTAACTGGAGGACTTGAGTGCATATTAAAGGAATATTTAGTGTTCAAGAAAGAACAAGATGGGGAGGTATGACAGGAGTCATTAAAAACCTAGGAATAAAAAAAAACAAAAAAATAAAAAATTTAAAAAAACAAAGCATGGCATCTATTCTGGCGGCCTCTAGTGTTAATCAAGTGACATTACATGTGCAGCTTCTGGTGTTTCTTTTAGAGACAATCACAAAAGAAGCCAGGATTCTGCCCTCACTGGAAGCAACTCAACAAATGAGAAGCTTATTGTATTACATGGCTCAGATTTAAATCATGTGTCCAATCAACCATCTCTTGTCAAAGGGGGCACATTATCAGCCCCTCCAATTGTGAAAGGTACTGCCCAGAGCACTTTATAAGTATTTTCTTGGTTAGTGTCCAAGATAACTATATACAATAAGTATTATTATCTTTATTTTACACATAAGGAAACTCAGGTTCTAGTTCAACTAGAAGATGCAGAGCTTGGATTTGAACCCACATCTGTCTGCTTCTGAAGCTCATCCTCCTTCCTCTATGTCAGGCTTTCTTGAGGGAACCACGGAAACTTGCCTCATTGTC